TTTTTTTGGACGCGGGGGATTCTCCACAGACACCCCTGCGTCGGTCTCTGAGCGAGAGCGACCCGGGGGTAGTGCCGGATTCGAACCGGCTAAAACCCCGCGATGATCCTTTGAAGGCGCATCGGGAACGGTTCGGGACCCCTTTCGGATTGCTCCGAAACCTTCCCGCGCTTTTTTCCTAAGGAAAATCTCCTGTTAAACTTCTCAAACCCACGTGGGGAGGTGCATACCTATTATTTCTCTCAAACCGTAAGGGAGAAGATCAAAAAATTGTTAATACTTCGAACGGGATCATACGTTCGAAATTCTCGTTCCCGGGTAATCCATTCATAACTGGATTCATACCTTTTGTCGTTTCGTGTACGAGTGGTACGTCGTGACATAATAAAATAGTGATTTTCCACAGTTGTGTGTAGTCAATAGTTACGTTACTTATAATAAATAGATACATGATTAATTTACGGTTAAATACGCGGTTACATTGGTGTTTTCCGATTGAAATACGTAGTAATACCTTGTCTACATGACTTCGCTTTTATTTTTATCGACAGAATTTCCGGTGCCGTATGTACACCATTATTTTCGCACACGAGTGTACACTTTTGATGAAAAGGCGCCTTGTTGGCGCTCTCCTGCCGGCTGTGCGTATCAATGAGCGAGATCAATGGGCAAAATGGCGGCTGTTACGGAGTGCGCGTTACGCTGAGTTACTTTATCGTACGAATTGCTGTGTGAGTTTGTATTATTTTCGTTTAGGAAACTTTGTGAGTGGTGTTGTGAAATTATGATATCAGTGTTTGCCATCTCGTATGTACGGTGGCAGCATTCCTTCGTTCGGTTTCCCTTCGCGCTTCCCTTATTCTCTCGTGATTCTCTTTGGTACGCATTACCGTTTCACAGAAATCTTTATAGGCTTCTCAGTTTTCAGAAGAGTTTAGAATTGCATGTATTGTATCCGCTAGGTTGAATAAGCGTCCTGTTGTTTTATAGAGTTTTTCTCTTTCCTCTGTCCACGCTGGGCAGACGAAAGCAGTGTGCAGATTGTCGTTCCTAACCTCGTCACAATGGTGACATTTGGGTAAGGTTTCTTTCTTTATTCTGTTTAGGAAGTTTCCAAAGCAGCCATGTCCTGATATTAGTTGAGTCATTCGGTAAGATAGGTTGCCGTGGGAACGAGTAACCCATCTCTCGAAATTCGGGAGGATTGCCTTTATCACCTTTTGGTTCTGGCTGTTCGAGCGTTGGAGTGTCTCATGCCAGGTATGTAGGATTTCCATTTCTTTCTTTTTTTAATCTATTTCTTTCATTTTGCATGTTCATGGTTACATCTGGATTCATGGCACGGGTGAGCCCGTAGAATTTGTCGTGCACTCTGATGAGTATGCCTACGGGAGGAGTGCTTGCGAGCAGAAACACCGCTTGTGTGGCTATTGATTTATATCCTCTTATTACTCTAAGAGCCATCTTTTTTTGTTCTGTAATTAGTTGCTTCATTAGTTCGTTGTTTTTCAGAACTTCATTGGCCCATATATGGCACCCGTATAGGACCATCGAATTGAAGGAGTTCACATATAGTCTCCTTACTTCTTCCCGAGGGCCTTCCAGATTCGGCAGTATGTTGGAGAGCACATTTACGTATCCTCTCAGTCTTGGAATTAGATTGTTTATATGCTGGGTGAAGGTTAATCCTTCATCCAGGATTACTCCGAGGTAACGCATTTCTGTCTTCATAGGTATGTTGGTACCATTTATTTTTATTTTCTTCATTTCCTCGCCGATTCTCATGTTTCTCGGGTGGAAACAGGTGACCGTTGTCTTGTTTGTAGCTACTTTTAACCCTATTTTTTCGATTTTTTTTAGGATGTTCCAGGTAGCAACCTCTGCTCTGCTGATGGCTCTTTCGATCGTCTTACCGGAAGCGGTTACTATTGTGTCGTCCGCATATCCTGTGATCTGCATGTTCTCTGTTTGTGTGGTACGTAGGACCTCGTCGTAGCCGAGGTTCCATAAGGGGGCTGCCAGTGTGGAGCCTTGGGGCACGCCGCATCTCATTGTTTTTGACAGGATATTGCCGTTTGCATCTATTGTCATAACCTTTCTCCCAGTAAGGTAAGTTGCTATAATTTCTATTAGGTATACGGGAAACTTCCTTTTCTTCATCGCTTTAATAATTGCGGGCCATGGTAGTGAGTTAAAGGCATTGCTAATGTCTATGCTCACTGCGACCACGCATTTATTATCTCGGATGCCGCTGTCGATGAAGTTAGTAACTCTTTTTATAGCGTCAATTGTTCCTTTTTTCTTTCTAAAACCAAACTGGCATTGTGCAATGGCGTCAGGGTTATCGTTACATATTTTTTCTATCCTGTTCCCTAATATTCTTTCGAATAGTTTGCTTAGGTCATCAAGTAGGCAAATTGGTCTATATGCTGATGGGTCGTTTATCGGTTTCCCCGGTTTACTTAGCAGGACTAGTTTTGCTGCTTTCCAACACGGTGGGAATGTTGTCTGTTTCAGGCATTCGTTGAAGATGTTTTTAATCCGTAGTTCTAGTATGTCGGTCGACATACTGATCACCTGAGCCGGTACACCCTTTGGGCCAGGAGCTGTCTTTTTTTGTTCATTTTTTCGGTGCTTTCCTTGATTTCCTCGGTGGTGACTTCCCATTCTTCACACCATTCTCTGGATGAGATTGGTGGTGACCAGTGTTGGTTTTCTGGAAAGAGGGTGTCTATTACTTTCTTCAGTAACTCTGGTTTCATGTTTTCCGTTGTTTATTTAAAAAAAGAAGCCCAAAAGAATGATTCTAACAATACGAAAATTATACAATAAAGTCAGGGAGGCCTCCTCCAGAGTCGTGGCCACACGTCACCGGACCCGTCCTCTGATTATTGCTGAGGGCTGTAAATGAAAAATATCCGCAATGGAATTAGCACACGACGACTCGTGTGGAACAGTGCTGTTACGAATATTCAATTCGTAACAGCGAAGAAGCTAGATGATACACGAGTAGAGCACAGCTCTGTACCTCGGTATTTGCTCGAGTTCTTCGACCGATACCTCGGGAGACTCGAAATGGTGTAAGCACTCCGAGTATCGTCCTCGGTTACACTTGGATGATGCAGAACGAAGCTGCAGTGAGCCTTGCGACGGACACGTCGTACCACGTGGCGCACCAAGTTAACTATTCAATTCCTTATCGTGGGAATTCGGTATTACGGCGTTAAAACCGCTTGACCGACGAGCCGTTATTTACAACATTACGTCCACACGGACGCTTGGTTGTACGACTGCCCACAGAACGATAGCCGGTAGGACGTCACACAGGACGTATGTACCTCTTGGCACTAATCTTAACCCGGATACAATAGAAATTGCAGAGCGGGCATCAGCGGTAACGACCCGCACAAGAAGCTGTTCCTTACACGACGTCTCGCAAAGAGATCCGACTTTTAATCGTACGGACTCGTAAGGAGAGCGAGCTCGATCCAAGTGTCGAACGATCGAGAGATTCTTTCCGAAGGAACCACCTTCGAGAATCTACAGGGAAATGAGAAAGAGCGTGAGAGACTTACGTCTCCGGTCAAGCGTCGGCGAATCGAAACTCAAACCGACAGACCGGCTGATCTACCTCAGTCTCACGGTAACTGAAATTCTGAAGGCGAATAGACGGAATTACTCGACGTCTGTTTATCGCCGTTTAGAATATAAATTCGTCAGCGGAAACACTTCCGCTGCACGAATATGCCCTGGTCGAGCAATTGTCCCTCATTTTTTTCGTCCACTTATAGGGCTTGCCCCATGGGTCATTGTCTAAAGTTTCGAGTAACCTTTTCCAAGTTTGTCGTTTTGCTGCCATTATAGCTTTTATTAAGTGCAATTTCGCTTCCTTGTAGTGTTCGTATTTCATCTGTGATTCGTCCGTGTTCTGATTTTGTTTCTTTCTCGACTTTTGCCAGGTTCTCCTCTTTCTCTGGCAATCCTGTCGAAGAGTTGATAGTTCATCGTTCCACCAGTCATTTGGTGGTTTTGTCGAGAGCATTTTCTTTTTAGGCATTGAAAGATTACATGCTCTCGTAAGGGCGTCTTCTAACTTATTTATTTCTTCTTTCAGGTTTATTTGGTTGGCTCTTTTGGGGTTCCACGTTTCTATGAGGAGGAGCGCTTTGCAGAGGTCAGAGTCAAATTTTTTGACGTTCCACCTTGGGAAGTACTGTGAACTCGTGTTTTTCATGTTTCCTGGGGCTGACTTGTCGTAGCGGACGGACATGGATATGTAGGCATGATCCGAGAGTGTTTCGACACCTTCCTGAACCTGCCAGTCGTATATTCTTTTCCTTGCTTCCTCGTTCGCCCACGTTATGTCCACTATTGACGAACCGTGTTGCCTAATGCACGTCGGGGCGTTCCCTCTGTTTATTAGGAAGAGCCTATTCGTGCCAGCCCATCTTTCAAGAGTTTTTCCTTTTGCGTTGTTTTTCTTACTTCCCCATTTTTTATTGTGGGCATTAAAGTCTCCTCCAATAATTATTGGGGTTCTATAGTTTTCTTTCCTCAAGGTCTTGTTTATCTTTTTAAGGTATCGTTCGAAGGCTAGTGGGGTGCCATTTGGTGAGAAGTAGCATCCCCCAATCCGGAGATGCTGGTTGCCTACGAGGACGAAACCGTCAAAAGAGCTTATTACCTGGAACGAGGACGCTAGGTCGTTGTTGTTAACGAAAATCGCAGCTAAACCGCTTGGATCGGAAATCCAGTTTTTCCCTGGATTTCTCCTCGGTTCGCTGATTATTCCGATGTCTGTTTTAGTTTCGTCACAGCGCTGTACGAGCAGCAAGTGTGCGGCGTGAGACATGTTTAAATTAGATTGTATTATTTTAATGTCCATTATGTTGCTTTTTGGTTTAAGTTGGTTTTTTCATTACTTGTTTTCTCCTTTTCAGGTACGTCGAGTGTCACGATGGCGGTTACTCTATTACCTTCCATGTTGGAAGTCGTCTCTTGGTTCGGAACAGGTACGTTCTTCGTTACGTTGGCGTTATTTTCATTCTTGTCTTTTCTATTCCTTTTTTCGTTAGGAATAGTTGCCTCTTTAAACTTGCGCAGCTTGGCGCAAGCCATGCTACCCATTCTGTGGGCGGATGGGAGCTTTTCATCTTCGCAAAGTCTGCACGTCATAGTGGAGGCACAGCAGTTCCTTGCAGTGTGGTCTTTGCTGCCGCATTTGTAACACCAGCCAGACCTATCGATGGGGTTCTTGCATGCTCCGCTAACATGCCCGAAGTCCCAACATCTATAGCATTGGAGAGGTCTGGCTTCGGCTTCAGTAACCTTTGCGTCTGACCATCCTATTTTTATTCTTCCTGCGGTGATCAGTTTGAGAGCAGTTTCTCTTCTGCAGCTAATTGAAACGGAGCTGGTGCCTCTCGCGTTCCGGCGAATTGTGCCGACTTTAATAGTTTGGTCTGGGCCGGTGTCTCTTTTTACCGCCTCGATAATGTCCTCTTGCGTGATTGAACAGTCCATTCCGAGGATGATTATTTCCTTTTGTTTCAACGGGCGGGTAACCCTGATCTTTTTTCCCTCAACAATTTCCGTTAGTTTCTTGGCCAGAATCTCGGTATTCTTGTCCATATTTTTCCCTGGAATCTCAAGGATGAGACCGCCGTTGAGTGAGGTTCTTGGTCTCACACCCTCGATTCCCAGTTCTTGGATGTTAATTTTTTCTCTTGCCATTTTCATAATATCAGCAAAGTCGATATCACATCCTTCTTCTTTTATAATATGTATTACAGCACGGTCTTTATTTATTCTTGTCGTCGTTTTCGTTTTGTTGGCCGAGTTCTTGGCATTGCTCTTCCTTTTTCTCCCTACCACTTCCGACCATTTCGTTGTGACCGTCTCTGCTGGGACGCACAAGTTGTCTTCTGGTCTCGCGGTGGAGGTTTTGTCATTTTTAGTATTGTTTAAAAATCGAATATTAATTTCATGAATTCGATTCGCGGTTCGGTCATTAGCACGGCCTTCGGATTGAGGTTTTTTCTCCGAAGGTAGAAATCGAGCTAACCGCGAGAACAATAACATATCGGTGCTCGACGACCTCCGGAGCGAGTGTTTATCGCGACACGCGCCGGATTGCGCGGCAAAAAACTGCACGGAGGATCGTTGCCTTCCCGCGATCGAAGTCAATGCCCGACCGGTAACGGATCGGAGAATTCAAATTTGGATATGCAGAGTGGGAAAAGGAATAAGAGCGAGTGAGAGAGCGGATCGGCGCGACTCTTCTACGCTACGCGCCGAGGTCGGTGTCCGAGCGTTAGATCGTCGATTCCGCCTGAGTCAACGACGGATTGTCACGGTGCGAACATCGCGAAAAAGTAGTTCGACTCGCGAATTAAGACGTAGTGAATCGCCGGTTTGGCAAGACGTA